CTGTTTGTTTCGCTGATGAAGGCTTCTAAAAGACATATTCTAATGTCCCGTCCGCTGTTTGTTTCGCTGATGAAGGCTTCTAAAAGACATATTCTAATGTCCCATCCGCTGTTTGTTTCGCTGATGAAGGCTTCTAAAAGACATATTCTAATGTCCCGTCCGCTGTTTGTTTCGCTGATGAAGGCTTCTAAAAGACATATTCTAATGTCCCATCCGCTGTTTGTTTCGCTGATGAAGGCTTCTAAAAGACATATTCTAATGTCCCGTCCGCTGTTTGTTTCGCTGATGAAGGCTTCTAAAAGACATATTCTAATGTCCCATCCGCTGTTTGTTTCGCTGATGAAGGCTTCTAAAAGACATATTCTAATGTCCCGTCCGCTGTTTGTTTCGCTGATGAAGGCTTCTAAAAGACATATTCTAATGTCCCATCCGCTGTTTGTTTCGCTGATGAAGGCTTCTAAAAGACATATTCTAATGTCCCGTCCGCTGTTTGTTTCGCTGATGAAGGCTTCTAAAAGACATATTCTAATGTCCCATCCGCTGTTTGTTTCGCTGATGAAGGCTTCTAAAAGACATATTCTAATGTCCCGTCCGCTGTTTGTTTCGCTGATGAAGGCTTCTAAAAGACATATTCTAATGTCCCATCCGCTGTTTGTTTCGGTGATGAAGGCTTCTAAAAGACATATTCTAATGTCCCATCCGCTGTTTGTTTGCTGATGAAGGCTTCTAAAAGACACATTCTAATGTCCCATCCGCTGTTTGTTCGCTGATGAAGGCTTCTAAAAGACACATTCTAATGTCCCATCCGCTGTTTGTTTGCTGATGAAGGCTTCTAAAAGACATATTCTAATGTCCCGTCCGCTGTTTGTTCGCTGATGAAGGCTTCTTGCCGACACGTTCTTCGTTTTATTTTTTTGCGTTCTTTTTTTTTTTTCTTCCAGGTTATCCCACACTTTGTTTCATTCATTTCATCATTCTTCGCTACACTCGTCACTAAACTTTTCGGTTATCAGTTTTTGAAGAAAAAAAGAAAAGTCCTTATTTATTCGCACCTATTGAATGTTAAAAATCGAACGTGATTAAATAATCAGATGAGCTAATTATATTAATAGAGACGACAGGTCAGACATGAATACGCTAGAGCGAATTTCGGACAAGAAATGCTTACTTATAATGAGAATATATTAAGCAATATTGTCTGTTTTGTGTATTGTGTGACAGACGGTGACCCATTATTAGTTTTTAGGGTTGTCGCGCCGCGAACACGTCGAACTAACCAAACGACTGTTAGAACACAATCAATGACCTTGCCCAGGCACCCGATCGTTTTTTTCAAAGAGCCGTCTTTCTTTTCCTCGAAAAATTTCAAATTCTCTTTATAATTCAACACCAGAGCTTCACAGTGGACCTAAGGAGCCGGCGAAAGGTCATAGTTCGGCTGGTTGCAGAGAAAAGAACACCGGGCAAAATAGTTCCAAAACGAATATTGTGTTTGCTAAATCTCCAACCAGGGCTTTTTAATCTCGACGCGATGTACACCTCCAAATATTAATCCCTTTGTGCCATGTGTACATCTCCAAATAATAGGCTCTTTGTGGCCATGGCCATGTGTACATCTCCAAATACTAAGCCCTTTGTGGTCTTGGCCATGTGTACATCTCCAAATACTAAGCCCTTTGGGGCAATGGTCATGTGTGCATATCCAAATACTAAGCCGTTTGTGGCCATGGCTATGTGTACATCCCCAAATACTAAGCCCTTTGTGGCCATGGCCATGCGTACATCTCCAAATACTAAGACTTTTTTGTCATGGCAATGTGTACATCCCCAAATACTAAGCCCTTTGTGGCCATGGCCCTGTGTACACCTCCAAATGCTAAGCTCTTGGTGGCCATGGTTGTTACGACCTTTCTTTAATAAGTCGCGGCCTCCATAACATATTGCGGCCTTCTTACGTTGGTCTAATCACGGCCTTCTCAATACTTGACAGATTAGGATCTTCGTCCTTACACTTTAACACACCCCGCAGTAGTTACGTTTACTGCACAGTCAGTGGACTCCATGTTGTCTAGGAGTTTACAATACTTTCTTACTATATATATATATATATACATATATATATATATATATATCACAATTCCAGCATCGACATACAACAGTTCTTAATTTACAGGATCCAATAGCAATTCACAGTGACCACGTTCAATGGCGATAATACTACCTCTCAACTTGTCTCTCTCAGGACTCTCACACTTCGGCTCAACCACCAACTATCAACTCTCGGCTCAGCTCTGAACAAACGTGTCTCTCTCTCTCTCTCTCCTGCTACTACTTGACTTACCAACACACAGACCTTTTGTATCTCCACCCAAACAAGTCAGCATGCACAACTCAATAACGCGAACCAACCCCACGCTCTGACCTCACGACTCACATCTCACAAAAAAATTCTCACGATCAACAACTCCCCCTACCCAACATTCACAACAAATCTAGTTCACAACAATGGTCATGTGTACAACAGTGGGCCATTCCCCACAAATTAATGTTTAAAAAAAATATGTTAAAGAGTTTGTTGATTCTTAATAGATTATATTTATCATAGTCTATGCAGTGAACCACCTTCCCCTTTCAATAATTACGAGGAAAATAATAGACGCATACGACAGAGAGTTGTATTAAAGCGAACCCATGGACGACAAACAGAGCTACTCCCTGAGAGATAATCTTTTGAGAGGGGGGGGGGGCAAAGCCTTGTTGCCGTTTCGTTTTATCTCATGAAATCGTTATTATTATTATCGTCTCCAGATTAAGGTCGTCCACACAACATTTCTACATCGTCTGTCTGGCCGTGTTCGACCTGGTTTGCTGCACCGTCTCGATGCCAGCTGAGATCGTGGACATAACGCTCTTCTACAAGTTTGAGTCGGAGGTGGCCTGCAAGATTTTAAGGTGGGTATCGTCACGGCAGCCATGCAAAAATCAAGTTTATTAGGGGTTGGGGGGGATGGTATCGTCACTGAACCCATGCAATATCAAGTTTATTAAGGGGGGTGGGGGGTGGGGGTATATTCACTGAACCCATGCAATATCAAGTTTATTAAGGGGGGGTGGGGGTATATTCACTGAACCCATGCAATATCAAGTTTATTAAGGGGGGGGTGGGGGTATATTCACTGAACCCATGCAATATCAAGTTTATTAAGGGGGGGGGGGGGGGGTATATTCACTGAACCCATGCAATATCAAGTTTATTAAGGGGTGGGGGGTATATTGCCTGAAGCCATGCAATATCAAGTTTATTAAGGTCGTTTTCAATACGGCAACCATACATTATCAAGTTATTAAGGTGGTTATCTTCACGGCAAACAAACAGTATCAGGTTATTAAGTTGGTTATCGTCACGGCAACCAAACAGTATCAGGTTATTAAGGTGGTTATCTTCACGGCAAACAAACAGTATCAGGTTATTAAGTTGGTTATCGTCAGGGCAACCAAACAGTATCAAGTTATTAAGTTGGTTATCGTCCCGGCAACCATTCGATATCAAGTTATTAAGTTGGTTATCGTCACGGCAACCATACGATATCAAGTTATTAAGTTGGTTATCGTCAAGACACCTTAAAAAAAATACTTCACATTTTCATATCTAAGCTAAGATTTTTTTACTTTAACATTTTCCCTTAAGGGATTAAGCTGTAGTATTATTGGAAAATAACGAACTCATCCGCAAGCCGAAGGTAAAAAGGTCCACGACAGTTTTTTTACTTCATTTTTCGATTTGCGCCATTTTTCATGGTACCTATAATACCTGAGGCAATTTGGACCTCAAATTAATGATTTTAAAATTAATTGAATAAAGGTTTTTTCAAAATTAGAAAATTTTAGATTTAAAAAAAAAAAAAAAATGTGACGTCACAAATTCTCGACACCCCCTCCCCCCTAAGCGTGACGTAATTTGCGAACGACTCCTTAGGTTTTTCTTCAAACACCTACTTAAAAGTATGAAATTTTAAATTTAAAAAAAAAAAAAAAATGTGACGTCACAAATTCTCGACACCCCCTCCCCCCTAAGCGTGACGTAATTTGCGAACGACTCCTTAGGTTTTTCTTCAAACACCTACTTAAAAGTATGCCCCCCCCCCCAACCACCACCACCTGAAATCATTTTAATTTTTACTAAAAGATTAACCTCCAACCAAATTTCAATATGCCTAGTGCAGTAAAACTAAATATTTATTTTTAAGCAAGCATTTCATGCGAGCGACGCTCTTAAATGCAGCGACTAAACGGAAATACAAATTAATTCTTGCAGGCATTTTGTAGTTCTTAACCGGAGGAACTAATTTGAATGGCGGTCTAAGCATTTCAACCACAAGACTCAGTTTATGCGTATAAATTTGAACTAATGCACAAAATTAAAATATATTTCAAAGAACAAGACAGAATTTTGACACACTTATAAAATGAGTTAATGTTTTCATGATAAAAAAATATGAGGGAACATAACATCCTAGCACCAGAATATCTTATCCTTAGCCCACCAGACAGTGAGCCCGCAGGGGAAGATAACAGCCTTGCACCAGCATATCTTATCTCAGCCCACCAGACAGTGAGATCGCAAGTGTCAGAAGAAATAGTACTGATATGACCAGGTGTGGGGGGGGGGGAAACCCTTTTTGTTCAAGTACAGAAATTTGGTTCGATCTATTTAGGACACATTGTTATCATAAAATTGAATCAATCGCAGCAACACAAACATAAATGTGACCGGACTGCTAATTTCGGTTCTGATCTTGCGCCTCCTGTTTCGCCATTTAAAAAAAAAATCATTTTGGGGGCATGTTTGCCTTATTTTAATTATTGTTTAATGCATTTCAAAGTTTCCCTTAAAATGTGCGAAATTATGTGTAGCTATTTTAAACGCATAGGCTGATTAAAAAAAAAAAATCACAAATTTTTTAGCATTGTTATCGCTGTCATCTTCTACTTTCTCCTGCAGGTTGATCATTGCTTTCTCAACCCTGGCTTCCAGCCTCACGCTTGCCGCCATAGCGATCGACCGCTTCAGAAAGGTGTGTAAGCCCACCAAGGCCCAGGTGTCCCTTCACGTGGCGAAACTCTCGCTCATGCCCATACTTGCTGGAGCTCTTCTGTTCTCCTGGCCGTCCCCGGTCTTATACGGGATAAGCACGGTTGATTCGGGGATTCCCGGATTTCCCGGAAAAGACTGCACGTTCTCGGACGAGTTCAAGGACACGAAGCTACCGGCTATTTATAACTCCGCCCTATTCTTTGGGTTCGGACTTCAAGTCTTCGTTATGGTTTTACTGTATTCGCTTATTCTGCGCGATCTGAAGCGTCACAGTCGATTCTTGGAACGCTGGAAGAAGAACGAAATCCCCATTAGCGGCACTGCCACTAGAAATTCGAGGAAAGGTCAAGGTCTTTGGATGACCGGGTCAAAAAGAGGAGCGACTAATCTCAAAGTTGAAAAAGATAACGAGGCTTCGATTAAAAAGATCGATCACGACATCAGCTTTTGTCAGCACACGATCACTGCAGAAAAGCGTGATGCGATCGATAGATCAGAAAAGGCGACATCGAAAACGGAAACAAGAACTGAGGATATCTTAAGTTCGTTTCCAAACATTGATCCTGACGAGGCTCTCGATGTTTCAAACGACCATTTAACTGCAGGCACTTTCAACAACAATAACGGTGGGTTGCCTTGTTCGCTGTCCACAGACCTAGAAGACACTGGGGGCTTTTTCAACAACAATAACGGCGGGTTGCCTTGTTCGCTGCTCACACACCTAGAAGACACTGGGGGCTTTTCGAGGTTGAGTTGTCAAGACGCTGGTGCTGGTGCTCAATGCGAAGACTTCAGCCAGCGATCGTCCTCAGAAATTTCCCGTTTCGGCTCCTGCGACATGGCGGTCCTACAGGTCGCGTCGACGCCACCGGACGCCGACGCCTCGGTGCCCAGACTCTTCACGGACGACTCAGCTCTGCAAACCGCAGCACGTTTAACGCTAGGCACAACTTCCGACTTACAAAAACCCGCTCGTATCCCCACACCTGAACCGGACGGCGAGAAGACGCGGGGGTCGGAGAAAGTTTCAAAAGCGACCTCCGCCAACACAAGTCCGAGGAACATAGCCTCCAAGACGACCCTGATAGCGTTCTGGATAACTCTGGTGTTCATTCTGAGTTACCTGCCGCACCTCTCCTTGCAAGTCGCCAAGCTCGTCCACACCATCGACGACGGGAAAGGCTCGCTCCTGGTCTTCAACAACATCATCGTGCGGTCGTTTTTCATCAACTCGGTCGCCAACCCCTTTATCTATGGCGTCCTAAATGTTAAATTTAGAAATGAGGTTAAAATTATTTTGAAAAGATTGGCTTGCCGAGATTAAATATATTAAAACCAATTTTTTTTTTTGGCACCAGTAAAATTATTTTTTTTTTAAATATAAAAAAAGCTTCAGATGATTCCTGTTTGAATATGGATTATTGACTTGAGTCATTTTTGGAAGTAAAAGGCGCCTTGTTATGTTTTACCCCATTCCCAAATATTATACAGAAATATCTTGCTTTTTTTAAAGCAATCAAAATGTCTTTGTCATGCCTTTGTCGTGGCTTTGTCCCTTGCACTAATTGATGGAGGAGCCATAACCCACCAGCTAATGACAAATAGCATCTTCAACTTTGGGAAAGGAAAATGTGATGAAAAGGAAGGCAATCCTTTTAAGAAAAAAGTACAATGTCTTCAGAGTATGGTAGATGTGTCTCCGTAGTTGGTTTTAGATATTGAAAACCTCTGTTGACCAAGACGGGAGCGTTCGTACTTGATGAAGGCCGTACTCGAACATCAACAGAGTACTTCAGTCGTCATGTTATTTACTTATCTAATTGTTGTCGTACATAAATTGAACTGAATAATAAACAAAGATTATGTAATATTCCAATGTATTGTGAAAGAAAATGACAGCACAATGAGACACAAACAAGAAAATATATATATATATATATATATATATATATATATACATATTAACACAAAATTGTGAATGAAAATGTAAGACAACAACGACGACAACGTTAACGAAACAAACGAAACAAACAAACATACCCGACACGGGGAGAAAGCAGCTGATAAATTGACGGAACCAAGCTCAGCGATAAATAATGAAAATGTCAAAGTGTTACGTGAGTTATGTGGGTGGAGCTGTGTAACGTTGGTTGTTTGGAGGTACAGCAAAGTCAGCATTAAAATGATAATGGGTCTGAAGCTTTAGCTTAAGCTTCAGACATCGCACCACGAGCTTAAGCTTCAGGAATCGCATCACGAGTTTTGGCTTCAGGCGAAATGTTCATGTCCTTTTCATACTTTTGGGAAAGTTGTCGAACAGCTCATTGTTGTATTGCCAAATATTAGAGATGGGAGTCGAAACCGTCATTTAAGGGTGTGACAACATTTTCCCCACAATAACAAACCAAAATCTTTCCTTTTACTTTTACGATAATCCACTTTTCCTTAAAAATGGATTACCTAGTAAGTGTAATCTTTGCGACGATTTCTTACCCGGTGTTCACGTAGTTGTAATCAGCGACAATGTTTTAAACTCGCACATAAACGGTTAACTCCGACACTTTCCCCCCATCGCGTTCAAAGCAACAGTTTCATACCTTAATCCTGATTAACGAGACACGTGTCTGTAGATCTCCATTCCGTTCCTGAAAGTCTTGCTATCCTTTAGAAAGGAACCGAAGAAAACCTGTTCCCCCCCCCCCCCCCCCCCACACCGACTGAAGAGATGTGTGATCTTATTCATTTCGGGTTTCAGCAAACGTCCAGTTCAATTAAAAGCACTCACGTGGAGATAGCGCTACATCAGTGTAATAATTTCCGCAGATGTCACGTGTCACGAAGCTTAATTCAAATTGCTTTTTTGGGCGACGAGTTGGCTCGGACTGACTGAATCTCTCGGCTTGGACAAGCTGACTAGTAGGCTCCAGTCTATGCAATGCATTTTGTAGGCCCGGATTTAACGCGATACGCCTCGAAAACTGACTCGAATTTTAACTTTTTTTGGTTCTCATTTACGATTAATTTCAACACTCCAATTTAGTTTACGCTTTCCTAAGTGGTCTAAAGATGAACGAGAAGCAGAAATTTACAGGTCATCTTGTCATCTCCTAGTAAAAACTAAATCCAATTATTAAAGATAAGCGTTAAGGGGGGGGGGGTCCTCCATCATTACTGATATAATTTGATCTGCCCAAATCATGTGACGTGAAAACTACGTTTCTTAAATAACGTTTATATTATAACTTCGTCTATGCAATAGGAACGTATTTGATTTGTAAGTCCCGTTTGTGCCCGGAAAGCTTGCCTGCACGTAGTTCACTAGTGCTTCTTGGGTTCTAGAGGGGTTGAATGGGATTTTGATTTTCCTTGAAGCACGTCTTGGTTGGGATTGAATGTTACGTTTATGTTCTTGTACAGCCACGTGGACGTATGTTTATGTTCTTGTATAGCCCTAGGGACCAACGTTTTGGGTGCAAATTATCTTTAACAAATTAACAACACTTTACTCATATGCCATGATCGGTCTTTAAACATTAGTTAAACACAAGGGCACGAAATAAATATGCAACGTCCAAGTATATGCCAGCGCAATAAGTTAATCCTGTTTCGACTCGGCCAACACTAGGATACCATCTCGTCAGGTATGGCGTTTGTCTGTTCGAGGCAAGCACACATAATTCACACGGAAATGCTTATAGGTAATGTTAGCTACACAACCCCAACATTTATAAGGATTGGTTGTGTACCCATTTAACTGCGTCGTGAAAGAGCGGAGTTACACCATGAGGATGTCAGTAGGCATGTCTAATTCTGCCCATTACATCACTTGCGTATTAAAAAAAAATTAGATTTAAATTTATTGACGTTAGAGGCAAACATCGACAGCCATATTTAATGTACGGGTCTTTGAACGTTCTGATACTGACTTTAGTCTCCAGCACGAGTTTTTAATTGAGCGTATAAAAGATCTGAAAGATGCAATAGAAATTACAAAGCAAGAAAATAAAATACATTGGCATTTGCCTTCAGAAGCTTAGTCAAGCCAACTCAGTTTGACGAATCGCCCCGATTTCGTGAGATCATTTCTATTGGAACCAAGAGAAAGCTCATTAGAATCGATCCTTTAATCGTTCATGGTAGTGAGGTGTGCCGGGGGGCAGGGGAATAACTACTCTTAATTCTCCTAAACTTATTGAACTTTGAACAGTGACGAGGAAGACTTGAAACCAAATTAGTCTTTTAAAAAGACATTATCGCACATTTCTAAGGGTAATTTTGAATCTGTTTAACTTGAACCTCTTTTAACGTCGCCTTTGTACTGCACTAATTGAGATTAAAAAAAAAAGAATAGCCCCATCCGGCGTGTGTTGAAAATGTATGCGAAACTAGATAAGATTTCCATATGTCTATATAAAGTCTTACCAATGTTAATCTGCGCGGAGGCAATTATTTTCAAACATTTTTGCAATAGAAGTGTCTTTTTGATCAAATCGGTGTAACTATGAGTTTCACAAACTATGTTTATAACCTTTTTTTTCCAAAAGTAAAAGAAGGAAAAAGGATATTTGACTTAAAAAAACAAACATTCTAAAATGTTATTTCTCTACCCTACAAAATGGATGAACAGTAGTTATCTTACTTTCTCTTATGGTGATAATAACAGCTGCTAAAATCCCGTGAAATAACACGGTGGTTAAATTCTCCTCGTTCCAATTCATTTTATTTGACATTTTCAACCCACACAAGTACGGCCTGGCGAAAAGGTGTCTGTTGCTAGTTTACATGGATTAACATCACACAAAATTTGATCAAAATTGATCAAGTGCAAAAGTTAAGAGTTTCTTAATTTTCCCTAGCGAAGAGAACTTGGTAAATATTTATTTTAATAAAATCAAAAACAACTGAAACCACCCAAGGCAGTGTATCTTCAAAAAATAGCTAAAAGCTTGTATTAAAGAACAAATTCCTCACCTTTGATTTATATTTTAAAATTTCTTGTAATTCCCTGCCAAAATCAAGAATGAATCTTGGCTCTACCGTTAATGAATGAGTGCAATCTTGGTAAAGTTTATACGAAAAACATTACCCTGAGAGGAAACTGTTTAGCGCATCATCCATAAGGTCGTGATGGCGGATCTCGACTATCCCAGCGTGGACGTAACCCTGGCAACGAGCGCGCCCCCCTTCAACAGCGGGGAGATCGAGATGACCCTGCAGATGAAGCTGACCCTCTTCGGCGTCGGCACCGTCATCCAGCCCGTCATCATCTTCGTCGGCTTCATCTCCAACGTCGTCAACGCCGTGATCTTCCTTAAAATGGGTCTGAAAGACAGCATCTCCTTGTGCTTCTGGGTGCTCTCCTGCACCGACATGTTCAGCCTCGTCCTGCTGTTTGCCATTCGCTACGTCACCAATTTCCCTTTATATCTCCCGGCCGGCGTTCACATCGACAGCCTGACCCTGGTGTTCCTCATCGTCTACTACTACCTCTTTGTCTACGACATCTCCCAGCTGATCACCGCGTACATCGCCGTCCAGAAGTGCTTCTGCGTGGCCTTGCCCTTCAAGTTCAGGACCACGTTCACTCGCCTGCGATCGTTTCTCGTCATTGCCGCGATTTCACTGGCGTGTCTAGCACTCTACGTCCCCATCTTCACGGCCCAGGGTATCAGCGAGGCGAAGAACGCCCAAGACAATTCCACCCAACTTCTATTTTGGACATCCAGCAGTCGGGCCAATATCATTGTTGTGGTAAACTTCTGGGGTATTCTTCTACCAACCGCTTGCCAGATCACGGTCATGGCCTGCCTGGTTGTTTTGGTCGGAAGCCTCAAGGAATCCTCTAAATTTCGCCAGTCTCTCCTTTCATCCCCCGACGACGTCTCCGTAGTAAACGGGCGTTGCAAAGATAACGCCGTCGGCGCCGGAATGTCCCAAAAGGGAAGCGCTGACGCCGACGGCTCTCGAAAAGTGAGAAAAAGGAGCAAAGAAATGCAGGCGGTTTACTCCGCGACGTTCGTCTCCCTCATCTTCGTGATGTGCAACTTCCCGCGGCTCCTGATCTCCTACACGAGTCTGGTGCAGCCCGAGTTCAACCTACTGAGGCGCTACGCCGGCATCTACATACTTCTCAATATATTTCGGAACACCTTCGAGGCACTGAGTTCGAGCCTCAATATATTTGTGTTTCTGAAATTCAACACACGGTTTCGTAACACGTTGCTCGGTTGTCGTGTCAGGGGCTAGCGGTTGACCTTTGAAGTGGTTATGGTGACTGAGGCCAGAGGTTGACCTTTTGAAGGGGTTGTGGTGACAGGGGCTAGTGGATGATATTTGAAGTGGTTGTCTTGACAATGGCTAGAGGTTGATCTCTCAAGCGTGAAATCTTTTATAAGTGAAACGTCAGATTATTAAAATAAAACTATACATGTATATGTAGATACACTGAAGCGCCCTTTTAAGGCTATTACAGATTTCTTTTGTGGATCAAAATAATCAGATTCTTGGTATGGGACATTTAGCTGCCCGCTTCTCTCATAAAAACCATTTGGCTACAGCTTCTTCCATCAAAACCATTTGGCTACAGCTTCTCCCATCAAAACCATTTGGCTACAGCTTCTCCAATAAAAGAACATTTGGCTACAGCTTCATCCATCAAAACCATTTGGCTACAGCTTCTCCCATTTAAAACCATTTGGCTACAGCTTCTCCCATTTAAAACCATTTGGCTACAGCTTCTCCCATTTAAAACCATTTGGCTACAGCTTCTCCCATAAAAACCATTTGGCTACAGCTTCTCCTCTAAAACCATTTGGCTACAGCTTCTCCCATTTAAAACCATTTTGCTACAGCTTATCCCATTTAAAACTATTTGGCTACAGCTTCTCCCATTTAAAACCATTTGGCTACAGCTTCTCCTAGAACAGCTATTTATCCCCAGCTTCTCCGCGTTGCTGTAATCGCAATAATAAACGGACACATTTTCTCTTCTCAGGTCTTAATTAACCACTCAATAAATGCTTACATTAGTTAACGGTCTGCTGGCTCAGCGTCGGGTTAGATTGCCCTTTCCAGGCATTCATAGAACTTAACACCAAAATGATCTCCAGAAAGAAAAATAAAAAGAGCATCATTTACTAAAAATTCATTTTAAAAAATGAAAAAAGTAAAAAAAAAAATAAATATTTATACCTTTCAATACAAAGTCTTGGACTGTTTTAGCTGTGTGTGCTTTGTCATTAGTAAACAAAAATTCGATTAAACGGAGATAAGTAAAACGGGTTGCAATAGAAACTTTCCTCGTGTTTAATTCATGGCTCAGTTGGGAGTTACTTGAACATTTAACAAAGTTATTTTCCAATTTCCTTTTAGTAATAAGTAAGTCTTGTTTAAAACTATTTTATGAAATGAAAACAAACAACAAACGATGTCATTAATAAGGTATATATATATATATTGGCTGTACACCGAGGTCATTAATGAGGTAAATTTAAAGGCTGTACACCGAGGTCATTAATGAGGTAAATTTAAAGGCTGTACACCAAGGTCATTAAATGAGGTAAATTTAAAGGCTGTACACCGAGGTCATTAATGAGGTATATGCAAAGCCTGTGCACCGAGGTCATTAATGAAGTATATGCAATGACTGTGCACTGAGATCATTAGTGAATTATATGTATAGGCTGTCAAAGGCAAAAGCAAATACATATTCCACACATCACACTTTATGCTTAGAACTTATTTTGAAGCTAGAAAAAAAAATGAAACTAAGAAAACCCGAAGTTGAAACATCGTGACCAAGGTTTAGGCCAAAACCAAAACATTTTCTTTGTAAGAAAATTATTATTAGTATTATTATTATCATTATTATTATTCATTCTAATCATTTGATACATTCATAGAGATAAGATATTTTTATTTATTTGGTTATGTAAGCTAATGAAATAGTGAGTGGACAAAATTTACTCTAAGGAAGGAAATCATTCACAGGTACGCGTTTCTTCGTTGTAATCGGGGCTCAAGCCCTGGGAACGGCGTTCCCGTTTTCCTCACTGACGAGAAGCCGTTCCCGTTAGCACTCACCTAAAAATCTGTTGTATCCATTAATGATTATTGACCCTATTAAGTATATAATTAAACAGACCCCTAAAAACAAAATGTTTTCGTCTGAATCCTTTACAAAATGTAACATCGAACAGCGGGCGGGTGGGGCTATAAAACTGAACAAAACACGAATACAAATAACGTACTTTATAAGAATCCAAAGTAGTGCCCCCCCCCCCACACCTAATACCCGGAATGTGTTGTCCTCGTTAATAAGTCTATGCCCCAAGTTTCAACATGACAGGTTGTAGGGAAGTGGGTAAATTAGCCGTCCGAAGATTTTGCCAGCCAACCAGCCACAACGTTAATAAATAGGATTAAAAAATATCACCACATTGTTTCGCGGTTATCGCCAAATTTATGGTTTGTGTTATCGTAAATAGCTCTACAGATAGCTTTAGAAATATTTAGCCTAGTGACAACACACCGCAGTCTTACCGTCCCGATGGCGTAATTTTTTTCGTTAGGCGACCCCCCCCCCCACACACCTAAATAGTGACGGAACGATTTTTTGAATCGGGTCTCTTAAAATCGTTGTTCTGACATGTCTGGGTGTAGAATCCCAAAAGATCTGGAGTGCTCTTACTATACAAAAATAATTTTTTTCGTTAGGCGACCCCCCCCCCCCCACACACCTAAATAGTGACGGAACGATTTTTTGAATCGGGTCTCTTAAAATCGTTGTTCTGACATGTCTGGGTGTAGAATCACAAAAGATCTGGAGTGCTCTTACTATACAAAATTATTATACAAAACAGGAATATGGCACGCGTGTGTTATTTCGTCAATAACAATTTTTATCTGCATCATATTACCGAATTTCAATAAAAGAATGAATTGAATATGACTAATGTCCGTCTAATTTTTTTAGGACTACAGCAAGACGCCGATCAACAATGAATATCGTATTTCCTGCCAACAGAGATACAGAATGATATTCTTACTTCCGGTAGTCGACCGAAAGCCTCAATCACATTCGACCGAAACCGAAACTAAATAAAAAAGTTAACTTTTATAATTTGGCTGAAACCTAAACTACACCAAAAAGTGATCAATAGGCAACTTTCGGCGCCGAAACAGAAATTTGATTGGGTCTCTAAGCTAAATGTACTGACTATGCTAAAGCGGGTTCACACGATGATACCGTTTTATACAACATTCCGAACGACACTTTCTGAAACTATTGTCCCTGAACAAACCTTTAAAAAAAAAACACTTAAAAATAAAACTTGATGTAATGAAGATGTTGATTGATCTTTAAGACAGGACTCACGGAAATGGAAACTTTTTTTTGTAACACAAAACACATGAAAATAAAGTGTGGTCCTTCACCCGACTCATCTTGTGAGAATAGCACACCCCAATCGCGTGACACGGGCTTAACACCGGACTTGAGCATACATTTTTTATTTGAGGGCTTTACCTTGCGCAAGTCATGACCGCCGATCGGAAACGTTTGTTGAACTTCACGTAAACGAACACGTTAAAGGACGCGTTCATGGCCTCGAAGAAAAATCTGAAAGAGTTCCCGACCACGTACGAGTTCTCGTAACGTCGCTGCATGTTGAAGTCCGGAACGCAGAGCGACGTGTAGTACATCAAGAGTCTGGGCGTGTTGCACAAGACAAATATAACCGACACCAGCGTCGTCGCCTTCACGGCCTGCACTTCTTTTCTTGATGTGTTCCTGCGCGGGTTTAAGATGTGAGTGGGCTCTGTGAAAATATTCCGACGATTTGTTTTCATTTTATTTATAGACTGTCGGTTAAAGGCGTGCTTTGAGGCTTCCCACGCTGTCGTAATCGAGGACACGGTTGATCCGTCCTGAGTGCTGAGCTCAGGAGACAACATCTCTTTAGGCGCCATCGCGACCGTCCGTCGGAAATTAGCCGAGGCTCGCAGCGTCGAAGCGAGAATGGCGAGACAGGCGGTGACCAGCGACTGGCAGGTCGTTGTGATAACCAACGCGGTGGTGCCCCTGGCGGACATAACAGTACCCCGGACGTTTGACGTCCAGAAGACGAAGACCGTCGTATTTCTCGCGGGGTCTCGTGTTTCCTGCAACCCTTGCGACGCCATCACGGGTACGTACTGACACACGCACAGGAATACGAGCGCCAGCACAATCTCGGCCACCCGGCGTCTCGTGAAAGTGCTTTTGAAGCGGAACGGCAGCGCCACGCACCAGCATCTCTGCACGGCGATGAATGTCGTAATCAGCTGCGAAATGTCGTAAAATAACGGGTAGTAGAACATGAGGAGGGTGGTCAGCGATTCGCCATCGACCCTCCACGACTGCGGAAGTGACGTGGAAAAAAGGAACAAGAAGTCCGCCGGCAGCATGAGCGAGACGGATACCAGGTCCGAGCACGACAGGAGGAAGAAGCAGACGGACATGCTGTCTTTGAGACGAAGCCTCAGGTAGACGACGAAGCTGGTGAGGTTGGTGGCAAGCCCAAGTACGAGAACCGGAACTTCGAACGCTGCACATAGAAAAAATGTGATTGTCTCCCTTGTCTTGGCGGTCATAGAATCGAAGACCGAGTTGATATTTTGAACAGTTCCATTCATTTTTTTTTTTAAATTTTAAAGCCTGATCTGTAAGTTCATTGGAGAGGGTCAAAGAAAGCCGGCTGATAGTAATACTTCTAAGGAGATACTTCTAAGGAGATACTTCTAAGGAGATACTTCTAAGGAGATACTTCTAAGGAGATACTTCTAAGGAGCTACTTCTAAGGAGATACTTCTAAGGAGATACTTCTAAGGAGATACTTCTAAGCAGATATTTCTAAGGAGATACTTCTAAGGACATACTTCTAAGGAGATACTTCTAAGGAGATACTTCTAAGGAGATACTTCTAAGGAGATACTTCTAAGGAGATACTTCTAAGGAGATACTTCTAAGGAGATACTTCTAAGGAGATACTTCTAAGGAGATACTTTAAGGAGATACTTCTAAGGAGATACTTCTAAGGAGATACTTCTAAGGAGATACTTCTAAGGAGATACTTCTAAGGAGATATTTCTAAGGAGATACTTCTAAGGAGATACTTCTAAGGAGATACTTCTAAGGAGATACTTCTAAGGAGATACTTCTAAGGAGATACTTCTAAGGAGATACTTCTAAGGAGATACTTCTAAGGAGATACTTCTAAGGAGATACTTCTAAGGAGATACTTCTAAGGAGATATTTCTCACGCGTCTTATAGCGACGAGATTGTTGACCAGCAGCGCAGAGGATTCACATAAACAAATTAGTGTTTAATGTCACATGACGGGTTACCGTGGTGACAAAATGTCAAAATTTAGATGAGACTTAAACAAAAGTCTATTCCGTTAAACTCTACTCTTGAAATGGCTGAAGGCAATACGAAATGACGTTTTAAACGACAAAATATTCACTAAATCTGGCACAAATTGTAAAAAAAGTAATCAATTGTGGTCAGTTTAAGGGGACGATTATTTCATTATTATCGTAAAGCAGTGAAATAGGCGCATCAAAAAGTTGCTAAGTGTATTCTCATCTCTTGTCGAATACCCTCAGCATTAATATATATATATATATGTGTGTGTGTGTGTGTTTCCTTGTAGCAAGTGGTTCAATTTTGGCCTAGCCTTAAATTTCATACCATATTCACCCAAGCCCCTCTCCGTAAACTAGGGCGACCAAATCATGAACTGTAAAAAAGGGACACACGCAAGAAGAGTTTGGGGGACCGGGGGGGGGGGATACCCTCCAGCTAAAGCCTAAAGAAGGGTCAGGGGGCCTCCGCCGGAAACTGTTTATTGAAACATGCTTATTTTAACAAATTTTTAGACCAAGAAATCTTTTTAAATTTACCTCCACTTTTTAATTTTATTTAAACTTTGAGGCATATCATAAACAAAAACAATAATTTTGCAGTGAATACTTATTTATTTATACGTTTGGTCTCCCTACCGTAATCCCCATTCAATCACGGGCAATTTTTTTTCAAATTTACAGGGCTTAACTTGGACCCAATAACTTCCTGTAGAGTTAAGGCCCAGAACGTAGAACATCAAGGCGAGCTGTAAAAATTGCCTACTGCTTTTATAAAAGGGCTGCAAGGACTTTTGGAAATTAATTTTTGTTTTGAATGCGATAACGGAAAGGAATTGAGAAGAGAGAGTAACTTCAGTAATTCTTTCTGTCATTGGAGTTCAAAAAACACTGAAAAGTAACCATCTAAAACTTCCCTTCATAGAGTTGTTTTTTTTTTATGTCAAGAGACATGCATTAGGATCTACTGTAAATCTATGTAAATGCGAATATCACGGATACATTTTTGATTTGATTAAAGAAACAACAACATAGACTATGAAAGTTCATGCTTTTAAAAAATGCTTAAGTATGCTTAGAAGATATGAAAGAATCGTCTAATAAAGCCTTCGGCGCAATTACCGCAGAAACGAGGAGAGGGTCGAGGAACCCATGATAAAATATTGACACACATATAAGTCGATACTACAGACGAAAGTCACTGCGTAATATTCGACTTATGATAGTCGATACCAACATATACCGATACTACTAAACAATCATATTAGTAAGCTTTAAATAACGCGACATCTATTATTATTCTTGAAAATAAAGAAATTAAGAAAAAAAACTCAATGCTCTACAACATTATAACTTTCAAAATAGATAAAGCAGTGATTTTTGTAGAGTTAAAAGAAAGGGATGGAGGGGGGTGGGGCCCAGTATGATCTCAAAATTAGAGGCCATGAATTGAAACAAAACTATGTCTTTTCCGTACATTCGCATCATTAATTATCTAGTTTTTTTAGATCAATTAATAGATATTTGGAAACTACTATTCACTTAACAGCCAAAGCTCATTTGAAAAGAATTAAACTCATTCTAAAGACGTATTCGTAACGATTAAGACGGCTAAACACGGCAATTTAAAGCCTTATCGATCGGTTGGGACTATTTAGTCTCCAGCCTATCAAGTACAGATGATTGATAATGTGGCATTGGGGATAAGCACAAAGTGCGTTATAAACCAGGCTACCAATTATCGATGACTCAAACTTTCACAAAGGTAAAAATTACAAGAGGGTTATGATAAGATAGTTGATCATTCAGAGCCGACGATCTCATCATACAGTTTTTAGCGTAAGTCTTATCATAGCTGAGAGTGCGACATTTTTGAACGAGAAACCTGAACTCAGACATCATTGTAAGCTAACGAGTGAACTCAGACATCATTGTAAGCTAACCAGCGAACCCAGACATCATTGTAAGCTAACGAGCGAACCCAGACATCCTTGTAAGCTAACGAGCGAACCCAGACATCATTGTAAGCTAACGAGCAAACCCAGACATCATTGTAAGCTAACGAGTGAACCCAGACATCATTGTAAGTTAACGAGTGAACCCAGACATCATTGTAAGCTAACGAGTGAACCCAGACATCATTGTAAGCTAACGAGCAACCCCAGACATCATTGTAAGCTAACGAGCGACCCCAGACATCATTGTAAGCTAACCAGCGAACCCAGACATCATTGTAAGCTAACGAGCGAACCCAGACATCATTGTAAGCTAAAGAGCGAACCCAGGCATCCTTGTAAGCTAACGAGCGAACCCAGACATCATTGTAAGCTAACGAGCGAACCCAGACATCATTGTAAGCTAACGAGCGAACCCAGACATCATTGTAAGCTAACGAGCGAACCCAGACATCATTGTAAGCTAACGAGCGAACCCAGACATCATTGTAAGCTAACGAGCGAACCCAGACATCATTGTAAGCTAACGAGCGAACCCAGACATCATTGTAAGCTAACGAGCGAACCCAGACATCATTGTAAGCTAACGAGCGAACCCAGACATCATTGTAAGCTAACTAGCGAACCCAGACATCATTGTAAGCTAACGAGCGAACCCAGACATCATTGTAAGCTAACGAGCGAACCCAGACATCATTATAAACTAACGAGCGAACCCAGACATCATTGAAACCCAACTGAAATTTTAACTTAAAAATCTCCTTCTGTTTATTTTTTTCTTAACCTCTATCGTTTATTGAAACTTTCGTTTGAAATGTATCAAAAGACTTTTAACAACCAACGAAGTGCAGCAATTTTTGAAAATGTGCACATCCTGTGTAGTCACAGGTTTTTTCCCCCCTTCTTCACAGCTACTCGTGGAAAACTGGACTGTTCAACAACCGTGAAATTTTATTTGAAACTTAAGGTTTTGGAAAGAAAATTAGTTTATGGTTGTCTGCCGTCATAGACAATCAATTTGAATTTGATCCGTTTTAATGAATCACTTTACATCAAGGAAACTTTAAAAAAAAATCTTTAAAAAAAAAAAATAAATACACATTCGTACTTACTGTAGGATTTTTGGCATGTGATGGGGGAAGATGTTGGGAGAAGGGCATTACGGCAAATACAGACCTTGGTGCTAAAAGTCACAAAATACACATGTTGAGAGAATACAGTTCAACTATTCTATTCGTCTACAAAAACGTGATCATTTTTATATTTTGTCTTGTTTAATTAAGGGACTTAAAGCACATTTTAATGTGTTCAAATTTCTGCAGTACACTTAAGGATAAGGAAAGGTACACTTGGCTAAACCGGGAAAAATCAAATGTGTGCTGAAAGTAAAACATATTTTTGGTTTCTTCTTCCCCTGTTTATTACCGCGCGAATTGCTGTGCTGGGTGGCCGAGTCAACCAGAAGCTTTTGTACTGGAGATCAACCCTCCGGGCAAAGGCCAAGACAAGCAATGAGCACCAGCAGCTCCCCCTGGTGGATGGGACTCGTTGGGCTGGGAGGGAAACTCTTTCAAGGGAGGGAATCTCTGCATTTAAACACGGAGATGGTATCCCGTAGGCGGTGTGACATTGACTCAATGAAAGTTCAGACAACTCCTTCGACGCTCCCGGTGCCAAGTTGTATCAATCACACATGATGCTCCAGATGCGTGGAAAGGCGATTTGATTTCTAGGAAAACAGATTATCCTTCTAAATAAATAAAAAAAAATATCTCAGCCTTATGATTTCGTCCTGCGAAGTCCGTACCATCGTCACATTGTGACGAACGGATGCAAGATAAATCTGTATTTACCACAAGAAAATTTCATGAGAATTTAGTTATCAGGAAAGGAAGTCGTTTACTAACAAGAGAGTTAAAAAAAAAGAAAATGGCCTGTCTACGCTTTAGATTCATTCAATTAGATTATGTCAAGTTGTATATTCTTGGTTTATTCAAAAGCTTCGCTTGTGATCCCGAAGGAGTGGGGAGGTTCTTGACACTGCCTTTCTTACGAAATTACAGAATGTATATCATGGACCAGCATGCTTATATTTATTAAGAAGAAGTCTACAAATTCCCCTTCAAATAAAGTGCACCCCGGGGAGCGGACCACCGGCTCTACCATCCTCTTCCTACGCTAGTACTGTCCACTAAGATGGGGCAGATATATCCCGACACATCAGTCTTTACTTTTTTTTTCGGCTAAAGAGCTTATTTACTTACTTACTCTATGTGAGAGATCCCCACAGTGTTGAAGTGTTCGATTGTCAGTTGTAGCTTGAAAGCTGAACATGTCGGTGATGAGTCGGCTTTAGAAACTGGTTTCTCCAAGTCAGAGACAAACCCCTATCACCAGAGATAATGTTAAGTAGTTCAGCGGGTGTATCAGTGTAAATTAATGTACGATGCTTTTACCAACAGATGCGTTAAGAGAAGTGACACAATGATTCATACAGTTATATAATCTTTGGGATATTTGGGATTATGTAAACCATTTTATCATTTTGCTCTTTTAAGCAGCCGTTTAATTCAGCTAAACCACGTGACTGGTTCCAGGTCCCTAAGCCATGCTGCGCATTGTGCACTGCGAGGTGAATATTCTCCCAGGTGAAAGTTGTTTTCAAACGTAGTCACTTTTTCAACCAAAAAAAAAAGATAAAAGTTACCTTTGGAGTCAAAATGATATCGGGTCCCGAATGTTTTCAATAGCCGCTCTATCCATGGACGGTAACTAACACACAGGAAGCGGTCATTTGTTAGTAAGAATAAAGAAGTCAAACCGTCTCGTATGTATTGATAGCATTCCCCCCAGCACGTAAGCTTTTAAGCCATTTTAAAAATATAACTACAGTCCAAGAGGCGCCCACTGCCCACCAATAACTGAAGGCTGCCTCTTGCTGTCCTTTGACGACTGATGATTGTGATCTCGAGAGAACTTATCGCAATCTTGTCTTGTGGTAGGTGACTGACACGCATCGTATCTTGTATGCAAGAGATGCAAGACCTACAAGTGGCGGCAAGCAGATGATTTCTAGCGTTCTTTGTAACTATTTTAAAGCAAAGTATCCTCTAAAAATTATCACATCGTTAGCGTGGAAAAAACCCGAAGTTTTCGAAAGTGTCCGGGGAAAAAAAACACATTAAAAATGCTGCATGGCTGATAGACAGATGAAGCTTTTAAGTAGTAAGTTACATTTACTTACTGAGATGTCAAATTTACATTTACTTAATGCGATGTCAAATTTACATTTACGTACTGAGATGTCAAATTTACATTCACTTAATGAGATGTCAAATTTACCTTTACTTAATGAGATGCCAAATTTACATTTACTTAATGAGATGTGAAATTTAGTTTCACTTAATGAGATTTCAAAGCTAAATTTACTTAATGAGATGTCAAAATTTACATCGACTTAATGAGAGGTCAAATTTACATTTACTTATAATGATATGTCACATTACATTTACGTAATGAGATGTCAAATTTACATTTACGTAATGAGATGTCAAATTTTAATTTACTTAATGAGATGTAAAATTTACATTTACTTAATGAGATGTCAAATTTACTTTTACTTTGTTAGATGGCAAACAGCTGGTTGAAGTTGAACAGCTCAAACTTTACATAAAAATAAATGTCTTTTTAACGTAGAAATGGCATTTGCTAGCACAAGGCTAAACAAAATCATCGCTCTTTGAACAGAGTAAAAACAAATGTTTAACCAAGGAACTTTAATGATGGTTATATGACAGATATATAACAGATAAATGACAAGTGAAGACTTACACATGCGTTAACTGCCTTAAATGTCATCTTACATGTCAGCAACACACTTAATAATCTATAAGTAGTTTACCTTTGGGGGCAATGCTAATTGGTAAAGATGGGAAATTATTTTATTTTAAATAGACGAATTGTAAAACACTTAAAAAAATATGTATCAATAGCTAACTCACTGGCCGTAAGAGCAAACATAAAAATTACATTTATTATAGCGGTCATAGTTGCAGTCACAACACCAGCATGCAATTTGTCTTCAGAAACAAGCTTTCAGTGTTAATCGAAACCTCCTGTTGAACGTGAGGTAAACAAACATGTTGAACGATGCGTTGATGGCCTCGAAGAAAAACCGGAAGGAGTTCCCCACGACGTACGACTGCTCGTACCGACGCTGTAGGTTGAACTCCGGGACGCAGACGACGATGTAGTACATCAGCAGTCGCGGAGTGTTGCACAGGATGAATATGATGGAAACAAAGGTCGTGGACTTCACGGCCTGGACTTCTTTTCTTGATGCGTTCATACGCGACGGCGCAAAAGATTGTGTGTTTTCACCGCTGATTTCATCAACATTTTTCAGGTCTTGCTTTATGGTACCAACTGAATTGGGCCGATTTGCCGATGTCTTTGATAATTCTGTGGTGTTTGTGACTTCTGCTCTGTTGTAAGTAAGGGAGTGGCCTTTGGGACCGTTCAGTAGAGATTTCCGAAACTTCGCCGAAGCCCGCAGACTCGCCGCCAGGATAACAAGACAGGCGATGACAGTCAGCTGACACGTGGTGGTCATGACCAACGCGAAGAGACCCCGACCGTAATACACCTGGCTCCGAATCTCCGACGTCCAGAAGATAAGAACCGTCCTATTCTTCGAAACGTCCTGTCCTTCCCTCAGACCCTGCGAGACCAGCACCGGGACGTACTGTCCGATGGAGACGATCACAATCCCCAGAACAAGCCCAGTAGTCTTACGACGAGTGAACGTTCCTTTGAACCCCAAGGGCAAGGCCACGCACCAGCACCTCTGCACGGCGACGAGAGTCGTGATGAGCTGCGAGACGTCGAAGAACATCGGATAGTAAAACATGAGCAGTGTCGCCAGCGTTTCCCCGTCCACTCGCCAGGACTGCGGGACGGACTTAGAGAACAGGACAAAGCAGTCCGCCGGGATCATGAACAGGACGCAAACCAAGTCCGAGCACGAGAGGAGGAAGAAGCTGAGAGAGATGCTGTCTTTCAGTCCCATCCTCGCGAAGACGCTGACGGTCACCAAGTTTGTGGCGAAGCCGACGATCAACAGCGGAGGCTCTAAGACCACGCTCAGCATGAACGTGATCATCTTTCTCGCTTCCAAAGACGTCACGTCCGGCAAGGTTCCCGCAACGACGCCCGAACCGTTCATCCTCTAGACAAAGGCTCGCCCTTCGACTCATACGTCGTGCATCGCTCTTCGGGCATTTGATGCGACCAGCTCTCGCCTATCGATAAATGTGTTGAGTTGAAGTAAACCCCGTGCTAAGTCTGTGTATAATAAAGTTATTCTGTACCAATTACTGGAGACTTCATGTGTGTTATTATCACCGTGACATTTACCAAGCCATCTTCCCCGGGGGTGCGGTGTACTGATTAATGGTCGTTATTAGAAAGAGGATTAGGACATTATTGTACGATTATCATGACATTATTATAGCCCAACATCGAGATGGCTTTGGATCGATTGCTTCCAACAATTAAGTGTCTCGTTTTTGCGTGGTATTTCATGTGTGTGCCTGCGTTTTTATAAAAAAAATAAATAAATAAAATGAGTTACCCTAATGTGAACCCGTTAATCACCACCTGTTACCGTTAATAAGCATAGATAGTAGTTGGCTGTACAATATAATTAAACCGACCTTAATCTTGAAACCATTCAACCATTCCATTATATAATTTTTATATTATTTCCATATTATGACACCATTGACCTTTGACCTTTGTTGATTAGAGTCCGAAACACCCTCGCCCCACCCCACACTCTTATTTTCTATTCATGACGAAACAAAAAACCAACAACATATTTTAAACATTTTTTGTCTGCTTCTAACAGGATTCAATCAAACAAAATTTTCGTTAGCTTTACACTATAGTAATTCATGAGTGATTTTCAGGTCGATTACTGGTGCATCACTTCAATTCTATATGTTTGAGTTTTTTTATGGATCATTTCATTGCGAGTCTATTTTTTTAAAATATCATGCCAAATTTTTTTTTAGAAAATGAGAACACGCCATCGGGTACTTCAAGACACTGCCCTGTCTTTTGTGCGCTTTATACCAAGCTATAATAAAATAATAATAATATAATCCTTGTACTTTGTCCAACGTTTTTTTCGATATCAAAGATTTATACACGGGGCCAGCTCAAAAGTTAGATGGATTGAAGGAGACCCGGAACATTTTGGAACTGCGTCGCTTCATATTAGTGTAGCTCCAGCACCTGTTACACCTTGGTATAACATTACCGGTTGAAGATATCGATCATTCTCTAAAGCTCCTCAAACGGTTTCATGCGAGATGATGCCAGATGTTTCGTGAGATGATGACAGAATTTCCGCGAGATGATGACAGATGTTTCGCGAGATGATGCCAGATGTTACGGGCCATAAAAGGCTTAAAATAATTCAGTTTTGTTTCATGTTAAACTCAAACAAGTAAGAAAATCGTTTTGAAAAAAAGGACAAGCTAATTACCAAGCTGTGTAAAACAACAACAACAACAAAAAAACAAAAAAAAACAACAACAAACAACTAAAGCACTCATCAATAATAAAATAGCAAAGCAACAGGACAAACAATGGTTAAAATCATTTCAGGGATTTTCAATTTAAAATCTTGAGGAGAAGCACAGTACGTCCTTCGCATGCAAAGATGACCAAGGCACTATTCAACTTGAGTAGTAGCCTGCGCTTGAGCTTTTTTGTGTGTTTAAAGTGAGGGAGAGTTGCTCTCAATTCGTCAGCCTCACTCTCTCGTCCTTGCCAAATTGTTCCTATGGCAAGACTTAGTAAGGACGACTGTAAAAAGACCAGGATGCAGTGGACGACCAGCTGTGATTCTTGTGCCTCACAGTGCTCTTCATGCCTTCCACGTCGCAGAAGTTTTTCATTGCGTCATCCCGCGCCTTCGGGACTCTTTCTCCGGGTGTGATTTCAGAGCTTGTCTTCTCTTGGATGAGTTGCCATCCAAGGTTAACGGGTCCCATCCAGATGAGTTGCCGTTCAAGGTTAGCGAGTCCCATCCAGATGAGTTGCCATCCAAGCTTAACGAGTCCCATCCAGATGAGTTGCCATCCAAGCTTAACGAGTCCCATCCAGATGAGTTGCCATCCAAGGTTAACGGGTCCCTCTTGCTGAGGACCAAGCTCCAGTCCGCTAGCTTTGTAATAATCATATCGCATATCACAGTTTCGAAAGGTTGATACCTCTGACAAAACAAACAAAGATAGAACTGAGAATTACGTTTAAAAAAAACATGTGTGGAAATCTTTCGATCAAAGATTGGGCCTAAATGATGTTCATAATTTGTTAAGGAACTAGACAAAAATATCTTCATCTTAAAAATCGAGGTCAGGTATTGTAATCTTTAAAGAGATTTTTTCGAGTGACAAATGATTTCTGAAAAGCGTACGTCATTCAACAAAGCAGCTGTGTTAGTGTTTGCCTGGATGGATCTGATGAGCAATAAAAGTTTTAATTTTTTAAAAAAAATATGTTAAGTGACATACTTAACATTGCAAAATAGCTGTACAGTATTTATCGGGATTATTGTTGACTTTTTGGTTAGAAAACAAATTCACCCCCAAAGATATTAAGAAACCTGGCCAGTGGTCACCATCAGAAGGAAAATGAGCGTATTGGTACGTTCCCAATTTAATATTGCAAAATAGATGTACAGTATTTATCGGGAATCATTGTTGACTTTTTGGTTAGAAAACCAATTCACCGCAATGATATTAAGAAACCTGGCCAGTGGTCACCATCAGAAAGAAGAACTTATATCTTTAAAGATCTCAATAAAGCCAATGCAGCCCACCGTTTCTATGCTTGTTATTTTAAATTACTTTGACTCAAAAGGTCACAAAACCGTTTCTGTCAATAAAACAATTGATGTTCAGCTTTAATGCCGATTTTACACGATACAAATGTAAAGGTTTCGGCCAAAAAAAATTTAAAAAATTCATATCTACCGCCTCTAGAGGCGTAGCGAGGGTGTTTGGCGCCCGGGGACAAGATTTGCGCCCGGGGACAAGATCCATTTTAAAGCGCCCCCTTTTCTTTTTTCAACTCTCAAACCCATTATTTTTAGCAATAATATAATATCAAAGAACATTTTGGCGCCCCTAACTAGCTTGCGCCCGGGGAATCTGTCCCCCTGCCCCCCCCCCGCTACGCCTCTGATCGCCTCCTACAACAGGCCGCCAGGGCGGCTCTGTATTTCCTGTTGAACCTCAGATAGACAAACATATTACTTGACAGATTCACGGCCTCCACGGTGAAACGAAGCACGTTGCTGAGCATGTACGTGCTCTCGTAGCGTCTGGACACGTTGAATTCCGGCTCGATCAGTAAGGCATTGTAGATGGCGAGCCTCGGCGCGTTGCACACGACGAAGATCAGGGAGAGCACGAAGGTCGCCTTCACGAGCTGCAACTCTTTCGCGGGCTTGGTCCTCCCGGGTCTTTCGGAACAGTTGTCCTTGTTTTGTGTGTCAGTTTTGATCGGTAAACTTTGAGTTAAGTCTTTGTTCAAACATTTTCTAGGTTTCGACACATGTTTAATGGAATTCTCCGCCTTTAGTTCCCCGATCCGAACTTTGGCGTTTGAATCTCTAAACTGAACCGAAGCTCTGAGAGATGACGCGAAGATGAACAAACAGGCGATCACGGTGACCTCACATGCCGCAACCACAATGAGCGTAGTGACGCTCCGGACAGAGTAAATGAAGCCGCGGTCACGTGACGTCCACAGAACCCACCTCGTGACGTTGCTGGACGCGTCCGTGACTTCGCGCAGACCTTGCGACGTCAGCACAGGGAGGTACAGGGCCAAACAGGACAGGGACAATGCTGCAAGGATGACGAACGTGCGGCTGCGAGTGAACACGCATTTGAACGTGAACGGGAGCACCACACAGCAGCACCTTTGGACGGCGACGAACGTCGTGGTGACCAGTGACATGTCGGCGAACAGCGTGTAGTAGTACGTTGTTATCGCGGTTATCGTGGCGCTGTCCACTGGCCAGGTTTTGGGGAGCGCGTAGGTTCCCACGAGAAAACCGTCGTTGGCCGATAAAAGAATCACGCATATCAGATCCAAGATGGAGAGGAAGAAGAAGCAGACGGAGATGCCATCTTTGATGCCTAGTCGGAGGTAGACAACAATATTCATGATGTTTGCCGCGAATCCAAGTACCAGAACCGGTGGAAGGATGACTGCGCCGAGGAGAAACGTGATTGTCCTCCTTGTTGCTACGGAAATAACGTCTTGGAGAACGGCAGGTGTTTTCCCGGTAGCATTCATGTCTTCAAAGTCCTGAGACGACGATAGTTTCTGTGACTACCTGTCTCAATGGAGGCTCGCCCCGTTCAAGAGCTACACATAGACTGAAATTAAATCTTCCCCTGAAATCTTGCATTGTTGAAAAAGATTTACCGGTGCATTGTAACCAATGAGCGTAACGCCTATTAAATTGTTTTCCCCTCCTAACTTTAAATAGACGACAAACTCAAACACACTTGGCCGAAAATGATGAAAAGACAATTTTGCTTTCTAAATTGTAATGGATTGTCAAACGCTTTTTGAAAAAAAAAAAAACATTAAAAAAAGTTTAAGCTTAAAACTGTTCAAAATTCACCATGCCCAAAAGGGTCAACACGTTAGAATTGCATCCCAACGTAAAATCGAAGCAAAAAAAAAAAAAAAAAAAAAACAAATAAAAAAAATTTAACACTCAAAAGTTTAAAAAATTCCCAAGCCCAAAAGGGGAAAAAAGTAAAAAATGAAACCCAAAGAAAAAAGCAAAAAAAAAAAAAAAAAAAAAAAAATTGCTACGTGACAGAAACGTAAGTCGATCGTCCATTTGTAGGACGTCGGTTGCGACATGCGTAGTGGAAAATTTTAAATTGCCAAGCGGTAATGGCGCCCAAGAATCATCGTATCATCACATCATTTATCATCAGACCGATTATAAAATCTTGAGAGACGTGTCGACTCCACGTATGGCCACATACGATTTAAAACGAAACACACTGAACCTAGCAAATCAGTTTGTTGTCATTGCAGTTTTAAAATCTGAGCAAATATGGGGGGTTGGGGGGAGGGGGGGGGAAACTAACAAAGGCGAGTTCACAGCAAAATTGAAAAAAAAAATATGTTTGGATGCGGTGGTGGAACATACGAAATAAATCGTATAATTTTGGAGGATATTATATTTATTATTTTTTTTTACAAAATTTTATTGATATTTAATTCATTAAAATACCGAAAAAAAGGGGGAACTTTATGAAGCGAGTACTGGCGCCCCCACTCCCAACCACGTCCCCCCTAACAGATGCCACCGCTGAGTTTTATGAAATAAATTGAACCCATTGAAGGATGGTACGTATGATCGCTCATAATATGATGAGTTAACTGTTTAATTGATCAAGATTTTTAAAAACATAATGATGCAGGCTGTTACGTTTTTCAAGGAACACCCAAAGATAACATTTACCAAGACGATTTTCATATCAGCTTGACGAGGACGAAGACAGACAGGTATTAAACATTGTAATACCTTAAAAGAAAATTGTCGGTGCGTGGAGTCAACAGTTGCGTGTTGGCGTGTCTGTTGGCAAGCTTGGCGTTGTCAGGTATTCTATGATACTGACATTCTACAACATACCGTTCTGAAGGTGTTTGGCTGTAGGATATCTCGCCAGGAAGGCTCAGAAAAAAAAATAATAAAGGTATTGTTTTCAAGAAGAACTCATCGTAGAACATTAACTTTCATTAAGAAGATCGCTCTGAAGCTGTTGGCTAGACAAAAGTCAACACATATATTGATATCGTTTTTTTTTAAAAGTGGAATAGAAAAAAATTAAGAAGGAATCACAATACATCATTATATTTCGTTTGCGGAGAAAGGAGCCAGAGGAAACTTCTTGTTATTTGGAGAAAATTAGCATTTGAAATAAGCTCTTCTTTACCTTCATTAAAGATGGGAATTAATTATTATTATTATTTTGTGTGTGCACATAATTCAAATAATTTAGTACTAGAGACATTGTGATTGTAAAAAAATAAGACGTTCATCATGTGTCTTCGTGGCTTGTTCGCTGACTCAGCAATCAAGGTCTAGATCAAGCAGACATTTACAAACTGAGTCCCGCTGTCTTGAAAGTTTTTAACCCACCGTCAAAGACTATTTTAAATCAAAAACCAAATAGCTACATTTATTTGGTCCGGAAAAAAAAACAACTTAATGCTCATAGCCCAAGTTTGTCATTTCGTGTTCAGCTTAGATTAAATAAAGTATTGTGCAAAGTATCATACAAACTCATGTTTATTTAACTTGCTGGAAAAAAACAATTTTTTTTGCGGCTAGGTTACCAAACCTATCTACTCCACTGTTGACACATGTCTGTATTTGGTGTGGACGTTATAAGTAACAGAAAATAAAAATTGTTATCAATATTCAACTAAATCGTCTTACTAAAACAAGAAGTCATCACATTTCAAATTCTCTCGAATGTTTAGGTAAAATAAAAATAAATAAATGTTAAAATGTCTAGAGTTTAGAGGGTTAAAGAAAAATATTATTGTCAATATCTCTTGAATGTTTAGTGCAAACAAATAGAGGTCAAATTCTCTTGAACGTACCAAAGTATAACAAAAAATAAATTAAAGTAAAAAAATTTGTTGAACATTTAGGGTGAACAAAAAAAAAAAAATTAATGTCAAAATCTCTGGAATGTTTAGGGTAAAAGAAGGGAAAAAAACAACAAGTCAATGTTATAATGTCTGAACTATTTTGGGTAAAGAAAACTAAATAGATGTCACAATATGTCAAATAATCCGTAAAAATAGATGTCCTAATATGTCAAATAATCCGTAAAAATAGATGTCATAATATGTCAAATAATCCGTAAAAATAGATGTCACAATATGTCAAATAATCCGTAAAAATAGATGTCATAATATGTCAAATAATCCGTAAAAATAGATGTCATAATATGTCAAATAATCCGTAAAAATAGATGTCACAATATGTCAAATAATCCGTAAAAATAGATGTCACAATATGTCAAATAATCCGTAAAAAGAGATGTCATAATATGTCAAATAATCCGTAAAAATAGATGTCATAATATGTCAAATAATCCGTAAAAATAGATGTCATAATATGTCAAATAATCCGTAAAAATAGATGTCATAATATGTCAAATAATCCGTAAAAATAGATGTCATAATATGTCAAATAATCCGTAAAAATAGATGTCACAATATGTCAAATAATCCGTAAAAATAGATGTCATAATATGTCAAATAATCCGTAAAAATAGATGTCATAATATGTCAAATAATCCGTAAAAATAGATGTCACAATATGTCAAATAATCCGTAAAAATAGATGTCACAATATGTCAAATAATCCGTAAAAAGAGATGTCATAATATGTCAAATAATCCGTAAAAATAGATGTCATAATATGTCAAATAATCCGTAAAAATAGATGTCATAATATGTCAAATAATCCGTAAAAATAGATGTCATAATATGTCAAATAATCCGTAAAAATAGATGTCACAATATGTCAAATAATCCGTAAAAATAGATGTCATAATATGTCAAATAATCCGTAAAAATAGATGTCACAATATGTCAAATAATCCGTAAAAATAGATGTCACAATATGTCAAATAATCCGTAAAAATAGATGTCATAATATGTCAAATAATCCGTAAAAATAGATGTCAAGTCTCTTGAAAGTAAAGGGTTTAAGTTGTCAATGGGACAGGACAGTTGGCTGATGTATCGTTTGTTGTTGTACTTAACAGGCTTTTAGAGTTGTTTGTCTTTGCGGCTGACTCCAAACCGTGTAGACTGTCTCCCAGTTGACTCTCACCAGATGATCCTCCTACAGATGTTTTGTTGAACCGGTAGAAATATCCAAGCTCAATGGATAGAAGTCATCTATTTTTTTTAAAGGTGTCAGGAACCAGCATTTGTTCCAACAGACTGCGAATTCGAAATAGCGGACTGTTCAAACACATGCATTCGCAAGACGTGCACCGTAGACCCCCCCCCCCCACAGGGGCCTGTTTATTAAAGCTAAAGATTACGAACCAAGATCAAGATACTATACTTACGTTTTTTTAAAAAGACACACCACAGGGGTTAATTGTTTTTTATTTACCCCCCCCCACAGGGGCCTGTTTATTAAAGCTAAAGATTACGAACCAAGATCAAGATACTATACGTACGTTTTTTTAAAAAGACACACCACAGTGGTTAATTGTTTTTTATTTGTAAAGCGTCTCAAACATTTAAGTTACTATCACACCAACGATCGGTTGTAAAACATCATCAAAAGCTAATAACGCAGGGGTTGTTAGCTTGTAGGCAAAGGACAATCTTCGATTTATTTTGAAATTTTATTATAATTTGCTTTTTAAAAATAAATTATCCTAGTAAGGGGTCCGGAAACTTCATATGATTGGCAAAGGGGTCCATGTCACACATACATAAAATGTTAAGAAGCCCCCATTTTAACAGTTAACTTAAATCTAACATCACAAGACAAAGAATACACAGAGATTTTTTATTTCATTTAAGATTATTAAAAAACAACAACAAATTTCTCTAATCTTTAATGAATGTTTTTTTCTTCTTTCAGAGTATCTAAAATTACTACTACAATGTCAACTGACAGTGTTATCTGACAGTTTAATCTAACAGTGTTATCCGACAGTGTTATCCGACAGTGTTATCTGACAATGTTATCTGACAGTGTTATCTGACAGTTTTATCTCTCAGTGTTATCCGACAGTGTTATCTGAAAATGTTATCTGACAGTGTTATCTGACAGTGTTATCTCACAGTGTTATCTGACAGTGTTATCTGACAGTGTTATCCGACAGTGTTATCCGACAGTGTTATCGGACAGTGTTATCTAACAGTGTTATCTGACAGTGTTATCTGACAGTGTTATCCGACAGTGTAATCTGACTGTTTTATCTGAAAGTGTTATCTGACAGTTTTATCTGACAGTGTTATCTGACAATGTTATCCGACAGCGTAATCCGACAGTGTTATCTGACAGTGTTATCTGACAGTGTTATCCGACAGTGTTATCTGACTGTTTTATCTGAAAGTGTTATCTGACAGTTTTATCTGACAGTGTTATCTGACAGTGTTATCCGACAGTGTTAACTGACAGTGTTATCCGACAGTGTTATCTGGCACACGACGTTAACAAAGCCCTGTACCGTCTGTTGTACTTGAGGTACACGAACATGTTGCACGCGGCGCTGAAGGCTTCCACGGTAAACCTGACGGTGATGGCCGCCAGGTACGTGTTGTTGTAGCGACGCAGGATGTTGAACTCCGACTCGCACAAGATGGCGTAGAAGATGAGAAGCTTGGGTGTGTTGCACAGCACGAAAATGACGGAGACGAGGGTGGCTGACTTGACGGCCTGCAGCTCTTTCCTTGACGTGGTCTTTACGGGGATTGCCACGGTCCTGGGATCTCTTTTTACGGCACTAGTGTGCTCCCTTCTTTCATTTTGGAGCGTACCGTCAAGTGGTTTTGGATAATCTTCTAGAGGAATCTCGTTTGAAGATTTGGAAGGAATGCTGGGGATGTCAGAATTTTCCGGGCTAGCTTTGTTGATTTCCGAGAGCAGCAAATCCCAAGGGGCATTGTGAACTGACTTCCGGAAGTTTGAAGACGCGCGCAGGCTGGACGCAAGGACGACCAGACACACGGCCACAGTGACCTGACACACGGTCGTCAGGACCAAGGCGATCGTGCTGCGGGCTGAGTAGACCTGACTCCAGTTCGGGGCCGTCCAGAACACCAACACGGAGGTGTTTCTGAATGGGTCGTCGGCCTCGTGCAGACCCTGTGAGGTGAGCAGTGGCAGGTAGAGCGCGAAACAAATTACGGACAGCGCCGACACGACGACAACGGTGCGGGACCGTGTGAACGTGTGTTTGAAGCGAAAAGGCAACGCCACACAGCAGCACTTCTGCACCGCGATGTACGTCGTGACGGCCTGGGAGATGTCGTACGCGAAGGCGTAGTAATAGCCGATGATGAGATTCAGCGAAGCGCCGTCCGTCCGCCAGGACACGGGTAAGTACGCGGAGAACAGGTAGAAGCAGTCGGTCGGGATCATGAGCATCACGCAGAGGAGGTCGATGAGGGAGAGGAGGAAGAAACAGATGGAAAGCCCGTCTCGGAGACCGAGCCTCAAGAACACCGCGATGTTGATGACGTTGGTGACAAGGCCGACGATCAAAAGAGGAGGTCGGATTACTCCGCGTACGAAAAACGATATCGTCCTCAGGGTTTCTTCGCTGATGATATCATGCTCAAGACTCGCATCGCTCCGAGTGGTGTTCATTTTATAGTGGTCCTTCCCAGTGTTAGAGATACTCAGAAATTATTTTTTTAATACAAAACGTGTTCCTGAAAATATTTAGAAGCCTTTTTCAATTCTGCGATGCCAGGTTAAGGTTAAGTGTCTGAAATTAAGTCAAATGTTATTGTTGCTTAAACATTACAAACAGAGTTGTCAGCACCCGGACTCTACATGAATCAAATGTTGTTTTCACCGAATGTCGTAAAAATATATCGCAAGTTTTCATTGAAGCCATTTTATATGTTGAAAATCAAATATCCTGTTGAAAAAGAATGATTTACAACAGATGGTTCTCGATATTGATTTGAAAACTACACCTGCAAAATCTTAAAACAGACGATTCCCGTGAAAATATTCCCCCTGCCATTAATCTGACCGACGGCATTCTAGGCAACTCGTTCTTTGACAAAACCGACGGCATTCTAGGCAACTCGTTCTTTGATGAAATGAACCAGAACGTTTAAGCTAAACCAATGCACACAATCTAAAGATCCTCAGAAAGACTACAAACACTCTTTGTTCATATTGGAGAAACCAAAATTTAAAAAAAAAAACAACACTTTTTTTTGCTCATGAAAATGTTTGACTTACGTAAACAAAAATTAAATAGTACATCAAAATTGATTTCCCTATGGGGGTAAGAAGAGAAGATTTCATACCGTAAACTCGTGACTGATGAGCTGCACACATTAGACTCGTGTGAAAACCCGTTTTACCCGTAGTCACTGTCAACAATATCAGTCGAAGTCATCCAAAAGGATAGTCCAGCAGAAAAGATCAACACAACCTTCTTGTTTATTGTGTTCTAGAGCAATCCCTTTAGAACTTCTCTGAAAGATTTGGTTTGGGGCTAAAATAGGAGATCTCGCTAGTCAAACTCCAGGTTACAATGAAGTAGTTTAAATTTTGTTTGGCAACAGAAGCAGAAGCGCATTTTACAACCGGCGCTACCTTCTGATCTCACCTCCAACGACCGGTCGCTAGAGGTTAGCCCTGACTCGACAACCTCCTGGTCGATTTCCGAATGGCTTAAAACAGGCCTGCACAAAATGCGGTCCTTGTAGCCGCATGCGGCCCACCATCACCCACTTTACGGCCCGCGAGGTAGTGAAAAATTCTTTATTGGTGTTATTTTCTGATTGACTCCCCCCACCCGCTGTCCTATTATCTTTCGGCCCGCACAAGTTTTTCATAAAGTATAACGGCCCAAATTACATTTTGAGTCGTGAAAGCCTGGCTTAAAACATTATTTGATTTAAAGATAACTTTTAGTGTATGTTTCTGCGTGAAATAACTTGATCGCAAACGGATAGTTCTTTGAATAATTTTTATTTAGCGCTTTTATTAGAAATTTAAAAAAAATAATTAAAAAATTCATATAGGTCGCACGGGTTGGGGGGGGGGGGGGGGGGGGATGGATACAAAGATAAACCTGCTGTCGATTTTGTCGGTGTCGGATGCTTAAATGATAACTCGAACCTTTCTCTCCACATTACAGTCGTATTTCAAAGGACGAAAATTTTGAATAATTTTTATTTAGCGCTTTTATTAGAAATTTAAAAAAAATAATTAAAAAATTCATATAGGTCGCACGGGTTGGGGGGGGGGGTGGTGTGGGATGGATACAAAGATAAACCTGCTGTCGATTTTGTCGGTGTCGGATGCTTAAATGATAACTCGAACCTTTCTCTCCACAATACAGTCGTATTTCAAAGGACGAAACTGTACATCAGTTTGATACATGCGACATTGTGAAAGAGAAAACGAGCAGAGAAAACATTATGATTTGATTTCTTGCAATCTAATTTCAAATTCGACCAATAGGATTGCAGCGTTGGTGATAGTATGACAGACATATTGCAACCTGGCGATTGTTTGTCAGACTCAAGATGTATGGGCAAAAGTCTATCAGAATCAAGACAAATTGGTGATAGTCTGTCAACCGCATGACTACTGGGCGATAGTCTGTCAGACGCATGATTACTGGGCGATAGTCTGTCAGACGCATGACTACTGTGCGACAGCCTGTCAGACGCATGACTACTGGGCGATAGTCTGTCAGCCGCATGACTACTGGGCGATAGTCTGTCAGACGCATGACTACTGGGCGATAGTCTGTCAGACGCATGACTACTGGGCGATAGTCTGTCAGACGCAGGGTAATTTTGCAGACGGCGATAAGGCACTGCGCATGGCGACCTGTCGTGTTCCCTTCTGGCTGATACATAAAAAGACTAAGTGAAATCGATTTACAATAACGAAATGGTGTCGTACGCCATGGGACAGCATGATTGAAAACCTGGTATTAACCCAATTGCCATGCTATTCTGGCAGGAGGCTAGAGCTAACGGGAATGTGATTTAAAAAAAAACCCAAACATATTCAACTGATATTAAATACTCTTTTCTTCTGTGGCTCTATTTGTTCTGAGTGTCGCTCAAATAGTACACGTAAGCAATCTTTAAAAAGAAGAAAATGTATTGCAAATGCGCGACTAAAATGAGAACGTACTATTCCAGCGACCTACAAGGTGAAGGTCAAAATCAGACGCCAGCAAAGCAATGAGTCTCCGAAGGAATAAAACCGGACAACGAGCCACGTGTCCAGCCTCTCCCCATCCATTGGCCAGGCTTGAGGGGATGGACTTAGATAGCGGAATGAAGCTGTCCTCCAGGGTATCATGCACACGACACAGTCCAAGTCCACACTTAGCATGAGAGAGAAACTGACAGTTGAAATGTTGAATTTCAGTTCTGTTGTCACAAAGATGGTACAGTTGAGTAGAACTGTGACGTAGCCGACGAGCACAACCTGGGATTCTAAGAAAAGAGCCGTGTTGTTGGTTATCAAACACGTAGCGTTGAACATCTTGAAAAAAAAAAAAGCTATCTTAAGTTATTTCACCATTCATTACCTTTGAATAGATTCCTGCAGTTTCACTAAAGTTATCTCACTATTCATTGCTTGTTAATAAATTCCTGCAGTTTCACTAAAGTTATCTCACCATTCATTGCTTATGAATAAATTCCTGCAGTTTCACTAAAGTTATCTCACCATTCATTGCTTATGAATAAATTCCTGCAGTTTCACTAAATTTCGCACTGGTCACCGATGAAGTTAAGTTTTCCTTTGCCAAAAAAAAAAAAAAAGGTTTATATATGTATCGTAATCGTCTTAACTTTTGAAAATCAAATCTCCGTTGAAGATGTCGTATAATGATAAGGGACGCATTCTAAAATCTTCCTGTGACAATTCATGATTGCCGCACATCAATCGTCCCTGAAATATTGAATTGGTCCCGTTCCCCAATTTAAATGTTTTTCCCTCTTCAGCTTTTCAGCTGGTTTCAAATATAAACAATCTATATTTGGGTGCATATTAAATGACTACACTATGAGCCTATTTCATCTCGGTAATGTTCGGTTGCATGTGGTAATTAAACCAGACTAAACCCCACCAAAAAGAGAAAAAAACAAAACAAACCGTAATGGTGTATAATTACTTTCTTCCTTATTTCGTAGGGTCACATGGTCGAAAAGGTTACGCACTCGACATCACACTCGCGAGTTAATGGCTATTCATTATTTTTCACATTATTCCTACCGTTTGGTTTCATTCTGAATTATTTCAGGGGGTATAATAAAATATATATACTTTGTTGTTTCAGTAATGTAATTTCAACTGGTGAATATTAATTAAGTCATCATAAATTTTATTTATCTGTGTTAATGCGTTGTCGTTTTACAGTTGAGCTGATGTCATATTCAAAGTCAATTTATTTTTGTACACCAGAAACAAGGTTTTCAAGAAAGTTCCTCTTGCCGCTTGGAAAAAAAGGAGTTGTTTGAAATTGTCATATTATATGGATGATTACAAATGTTAAATGAGGCCAGCTGAAGCTTTTATACACTTTCTTTACACTGTTGTTAAAGCGAAATTTTAAAAATTGAAAAATTACCATGCCACACTGTTTTTTCCCACTTTATGGTTTCCGAATTTTAAAAGACAGATTTCCCCAAAATTAAAATCAACAATTCTTCTAAATTTGAAAGATCAAATGCCGCTTTGAGACCTTTGAACTAGAAAGCCTTTGAAACTGTCTCTCTTAGCCGAAACGTTGTGCTTTCGTTTAGTCCCGTCTTTCTATTTCAAGCTCCCACATACCTTCTTCCATTACTTCCTCCACACATCGTGAACGCATTACTTCCTTTATGATCACATTTCCAGAACTTTGCCTTTCTGTGCAAACAGAGGTCTAAGCCTTAAATGAAAGGAATTCTCCAAACAAAACATACATTGGTATAATCTAGGAATATATGAAATAGAAGAAAACGTGTTGTTGTTTTTTTTTGAAAACCACGGCTCCATTATACAACACTAACTTAAAGAAGTAGTGTTTCCTATTTCTGGATCATTGGAAAAACAAAAATAAAACTTCGCGACAAAGAAATCATACGCTGTTCAAACTATACGATGCAAGATCGTATCTGTTAAAAATTTTACTTTCTCGCCGTATGAGCTAACACACTTGATCAAAGCCTACATGTAATAAACAAAAAAACAACAAGCCCATCCACATTGAACACATGCCAAAACACCCAACAGCCTAGCCAATAACATCAAGTACTAACGTTCTATCAAGAGCGATGTCCCCTGCTGAAAGAGGCTGGATTTTTAGAATCTTCTTTATTATTGACGTATCATTTTCATCTAGCGTCTTACAACCAACATAAAAATTGCAAAAAAAAAAAAAAAAAAAAAAAAAAGAGACGCACCTTCAACAATTTACGCGAGACTAACCATTCTTTGGTTTCAAAATAGCGTAGAGCGCACTGGGTGAGTAAGCCGGTTAACTTCAAATAGGATCATTATTGGGATAATTCCTTTCCACCGTAATGGGTCTGTTGTGAGGCGTTGGGGTTATCGGAAAGGACGTACCCGCG